CTCTGTCAGATTTCACAATGTGAGTAGGTGACCTTAAAACATTTGTGCATGTGTATTTAACAGTTTGCTTCCAAGTACAAGTATCTACAGATCAATAAAGCCAGGGCCTGGAAAAAGCCAGCTCTGCACACAGCCATGTCACCCCCAGCACAGTCACGCTGTGCTCCCCAAGGCTCCGTCAACTCTGTTTTGTGATGCCCAGAGAAGGAAAGTTGTGTCCCTCCACACACATAATTCAACCCTTGCCTTTCATTAAAACTTCCCTGGACTTCAGGAGGATGTCAAACTAGGACTAGTTTTCTGTCACTTCTAGAGCAACTACTGTTAATGTAGTTAAAGACATGTTGCCCTCTGTGAATAGAAATCAAAGATGGTCAAACCCATCAGGACAGCCTTCCTGAGAAAGGGTATGAAGATTGTATTTAAAAAAAAAATAATTTAAAAATATCATTTGAAAAACAAGGAATAAAACAAACTTTTAGTGGTTACATGAAACACTCCTCCTTTAACCACATAACATCCAAAGAAGAAATGGAAGATCAGGATAGTGTATAGAGCGTTAAAAATAGCTTCCACAACCCAATTCTAGAGTTGGAGAGCCCTCAAGTGCCTTTGTGCCAGCCCTCCAACAAGTTATGCTGTGCTGGAAGCAAGAGTATGGCAGAGGTCTCAGGTCAAGAATAACATGAGGGAGAAGAATTGGAACCACTTATTTGCTCTTTCACACAATGCAAGACCTCGACTCAAGAAAATGATCCAACAGTAGGTTTTAAAAGACCTGCACCTTCACACAACATACGAATAAACAGAGTATAATTAATGTATAATTAAATAGCAAAACTCATTGCTGCAGGATGCTGTAGAAACTGAAAACATGAGGAGATTCAGAAAAGGATGTGCAAGTTTCTGGTAGAGAGATGTGGTAAAAATAGCGTGTGCTAAAGGCAGTGGTCTGGAGGCAGCCACCAGCTCTCAGTCCTTGAAGAGAAAACAGCTGGGAACCAGAGGAAGCTGATTCCAGTCATGCTCTGCCTGTTACACCTGCAAGCATCGGCTGCTGGCCTCTGCCACGGAGATGATCTGGGTTAGACCTTTGGTCTGGCCATTCTGACACCTTAATCATCTTTACAATGTTTTTCTTGCATAAGCTAATTATAAGAAGATCTAGCTTCACACCCCCTTCTTCCACCTCCTCCCTCCACCAAATCTCTGCCCTCCATGGCGTGCTCCCAGCCCGGCAGTGCTGGCCCTCCTGCTGCCCATCGGGTTTCCCACTCCCAGGCTCCTGATCACAGACACCGTGTCCTCAGCCTAACACTGCCCTGGCTCCATCCCTGCGGAGTGGGGATCCATCATGGGACCAACCGCGCTGCTAACTCAAGCAGGACCTGGAACGATAAACTGCAGAGGCTCCTGAAAGAGCAAAGGGAGCACAAACAAGAGCTGATCCTTGTTTTAGAATAAGCACTAACGACTTTATCCAGGCTACCTGAGGATATTCTTGGGGCAGCAGCTTGGTTGTAGCCTGTTAGCTGCAGGAGCTTTCCTTTCACATAAATCTTGACCCACTGCCTCCTGCTTTCTGCACACGTTTCTCCACTGGTCCCCTCTCTCCTGACATGAAACACCCTTTGCTACTTCCATCCTGGGCGTGCAGCTCCTACGATGTAGCTCAGGTTCTGCACCTCAGTCCTAACCCGCGGGGCCTACACGGATCGAGATGACAGGTACATAAGGAGAACTGGCAGACAGGATGGTGGCTCTCTATCGAGATGGTTTAGGGGGATATCTGAAATGTTGCAGCATTCAAAAGAAAGCCTCCTCTGCTTTCTGCTGCCCTCCCACAAGGCTGAGGTAATCGAAGTGAAGAACATGATAAACTCTCTGCCCCGAGTCAGCTCTACACTGACAGTTCACCAGAGATACAAGATCGCTCAGTGACATTAAAAATGTCAGCAAACACCGATCAGGCTTGACGGAAGGGATGCATTAGCAGGCTGGCGGGGCACAGGGCAAGGTAAAACTTCAGCAAACGCAGTCAAGTGCACAGGCAGCTTTTCTCCTTTTGTCTTCCACAGAAGTCTTTCACACATCCCAAGACACTGTGGCCACCATCACAGAAGTCAGGTGTGATGCTCACCAAGACTTGCACAGCCAGATCAATCCAAAAAGGTTTTCTGGAGCACAACAAGCGTGGCAGCTAGCAGGGGCTGATTTCCACCTTCAGCTTGCCCCAGAGGCAGGTCTTGGATAATATGAAAGAGGCCTGGAGGCATAGAGTGCTCATCTCAACTGCTCCTGCAGCACAGAAGTGCCAAGGGAAGGACTTTATTGAAGAATGAACCCTGCAAAAGACCATCTTAGCACCTCAAAAAGAGGGACTGCCAAGCTCTGGAGCATACCACACTTTGGCAGAGGCAGCACAGACAAGGACTGTTTCTTCAGATGGTACAAAATGAAGACAAAGAGGAGCTGAAGCCACATGTGCACGGGCAGAGGGAATCTGGAACATATTTTGTTGCTACCACACTACACACAAATACACAAACACAACTGCCCCATGCACACACCTTTCTACACGTAATCCCAGTCTCTGAATCACCTTGTATTTGCAGCAGCAGTTCCCTACTCAGCAGGGTCCTCTTGGTATCACTGCTCACAAGCAGAGACCCAAAGGACAGACAGCAGATGCAGGTGGGGCCATCCTGCAGGAAACTGCTCTCAGTCACACATGCCATTTACTCTCACATGGACTGTTTTCTCAACATCTGAAACACCCAAATTTCTGCATTATCCATGACCTAGAAATCAGCAGTTTCACACCACCCCTCCCCAACACCTTCCCTTCATGGATCAGGTCAGAGGCAGACTCAGCCTGGGGGGTATTTCTAAGTCAGGAACATGCCAGAGGGAGGGGAAAAGGGGACACCTGAGCTATGCAGGGAAGAGGAGGGGGCTAGATACCTGTCCAACCTTATTTGTCTCGCACTGGGAGCTCACTCAAAAGAGACTGATGTCCCATTGGGTGCTGCTGCTTGGCCAGAATTACTTATCTAGGTTGGAAATCCTCTCTTGTGAAAACACACAGGCAGTTCCCCTACAAGCACCCCCAAGGAGCAGGGCAGTGAGTAGCATGGAAAGATGCTCACCCTCAGGTAAGAGCAAGCCCCAGGGAAGGTAGCTCTTTAGCCACAGGCCAGGAAAGATCCCTGCTCCCCTCTTCAACCAGAGTCACTTCCCAGAGTGGTGCAGGGACCCTGGAACCACCCTGTGCCATAGCGCATCAGATATTAAGGAGTCTGAAAAGCTTCATATTTTTAAGATATTAGAGTATACATCCCCTCCACACATGATCTGAAGGAGACTGGAGCCTTACTTTCTGAGTAACACATCTGCAGAGGGGGACAGCCCCAATTCTTGTGACCCCATCCTACATGCACAGCCTGTGACCCCTTCAGAGAGCTGGGCGAGGGAACACTTCCCTGCAACAGCTTTTCTCCTCCTCCTGCCTTTAGCTCTGTGTTTGGTACTTCCCAGATGCTCACCAGCCCTCAACTTAGTATCACAGTATTTGCTGAAGTAAAATACACGAACATCCACCTTGAAGAACAGCCACTTGCCTGGATGTCCACATTACCATGAAACCCAGCTCCTAACACAGTTTATCCAGGAGCCTCGAACTATGTAAGTCATTCATCCTGAGGCCCAGAGGAGGAGCATGGATGGATCAACCTACTTCTTAGCAAAGACCATGGTATGTAGGGATTCTTTTTCTTTAAAATATTATTATTCTGCAGCCATCAACCTGCTGGTTATATAGCTGCTATCCATTCACCGGAAGTTTAGTGAACTTCAAATGGCGATCATTAATGGTCACTGAACTGCAGAATGCCCCAATGTGCTTTCAGATTTCATTTACCAAGGACCAGCAATCAGCCAAAAGATTTGCTCTGACAGCAGGGAAATACAAGACCCTTTGACAAGTTCAGCCGGGAATGTGCTGCCAGCATCCCTTGTTAAGTTCATGTTCTACCCTATTTGATGGAACAGATCATGCAAATTGTCCTTCTGCGGCTGCTCAGCCTGTCACTCATGCTTCCATTTAAAACAGTAAATAAATAAAAGAACAAAAGAAATGCCCACAAGTACGAGATGTTTACAAGCAAATTCCACTTACTGAGACCCCCAATTATCAGGAAAAGGCACAGAAACCCAAGTAAAATATTAAAATAGATGCAGGAAGGGAATCTGACTCATCCAAAGGTTTAACTGGGAGGGCCACCCCAGTTTCTCTTGTGCACAGACCCCAGCCTCCCCCCTCACCCTACTACTGCTTGTAATCACACTTGTTCTTTTCTTCCCACTTTGATTTGTGGCTTATGGCATCACCACATTTTTCTGTGCAGACGGAGTAGCCATGACAGGAGACCCAGTAGATGGACAGCAGGCTGCTCTTTAATCACTCAGAGAAGGTGTGAAGCAACACAAGGCACCAGGCAGTAAAGCCCAAGGTATTTTCCTCTGCCAAATGACCACTGGTTTCTTAGGTGGGTGCGCTGCCGAGACAGCTCCCCTTCCCCACAGCAAAAAAGGGAAACAGTGATTTTTATTTGGGAATATTTTCGCATGTTTCTCAACCAGAATTTGATCTGAAGGGAGCCAAGCTCCTAGGAGCCTTATATACCTGCAACACTAAACAGAATCAGCAACACTGGGGCCAACACAACTGCCACCGAAGAGGGGCCTCACAGTGTCCCACTATTATGCAGAGCCACTGCGCTGTGCCTGCCACAATGGGATTCTCCCCAGCTGCAGAACACATCCCATCAAGTACAGTAAGACTCTATTAGAGGAGATACAATAGGGAGCCGGAGGACTCTGCTCAGCCCAGCTTCTGAGAAAATAACTCATTTCAATGCAAAACAGCAGTAGTTATTAGACACCTCCTTAAAGAGGAAAGGAGAAGGACAAGGGGAGGAGGGAGAGAGGGAGACAGGGACCATGGCAGTTTCCACAAAAGTACCTTTTTCAGATTAATCCACTGTTTGAAGTAATCAGCAACCGGCAGCCCTAAGTACTGGCATTGTCCTGGTAACCTGTAAGAGAGAAGAGAGAGCAGGTTTGATTCAATCAGTGTCCTGACAACACAAACTCTGTTTTCTTAAGTGCATTTCGTTCTGAGATGGAAGAGACCCTCAAGTCTGCTGTAACATGCTGCTCATCAGAAGGACTGTAGCTCTTGGCTAAAAAAAAATCCCATGAGAGCACAGCTTGGCTGAAGGCTTATATACATCCAGCCACATCCAGGCTGCTGACACCTTTCAGACTGAACATTCACAGGAGCTGTGTGCAAGCACAGCATGCTCCACAGTGGCTAACACACAAACACGAGCTGTCCTTAGCTAAGTGAACCCATCGCAAATCCCTGCAAAACCATCCTGCTCAGACAGCAGCTTACAGGGCAGACAGAAGGACTGACAATTCACCTTCGTGCCCTAATGCTCTCCCATTTGGTCTTTACGGTTAAAACACCAAATAAGACAGGAGGGAGGGAAGGAGGCACCAATGCATTAGTTTTTTGGTTTGTAATGCTGCAGGACCAACTTTTTAGGGTTAGGAAAGCAGAGGCTGGTTTCCAAGCAGGTGCTTGCAAAGAGGAGAGCTGTCACAACTCTGAAGATGCAAGGGCTTGCACACTGTTTCACTACAGGTTTGAGGACCAGCAGCCAGAGCTGCAAGCACATGTATTTAACCTCTCCCTTCCTGCAGCGAGCTGCCAGAATAGGGCTCACATAATGGCACCGGTAAGGGAGGTGGACTGCCTGAAGGAACAGCAGGACCCCAGAATTTGGAAAGCTGTTTCTCCCACACTGTGCCAACCCCAGTGTGTTCGCAGAGAAGCTACAGTGTTCTCCTAAGACAGGGAAGGCTGAGTCGCAAAGCCACGCGGCTGCAGCCAAGCCTGTGCGTGGAGATGAGTTATGTGAGTTTTCCCCGGCCAGTTTGATCTGATCAGGAGTAATTGATGGATCTTGTTCATTCACGTACTGCTGAGCACGCCTGGGGCACTGGTCACAAGATCTTTAACTGAAGCAAAGGAACATCCCAAATAAATATGTCAACTAAATAAATGACTAAATTAGACCCGTTTGTGCATGTTAAAAGCCACAACCCCAGAAATCAGCTTTTGCAAACAGAGGGGGATGGGGATTCTCACAACTTCCTTGGGCATCTGGAGACTGTCAGGAGAGGTTGTAGAGGAGGCAGGAAGAGCTGCAAGTACCAGTATCAGCTGCTCAAATATCCCAACACAGACCATGTCCAGGGCAAAGCCTTCTCCCACTCTCCACAGGGGAAAGATGGAATAATCTGGACTGGACTTCAGACTCAAGACTGAAATTCAGGAACAAGCCCTGGTCAGATGTGGGCACAAGCTAGCTACAGAGCCTTGAGCTGGGGTGCACCATGCAGCGCTCAGCACAGCTCCAAACCCCCTGGTGAACAGGACAGCATCTCTTCAGCCCTGCAAGCAGTTTCCCAATATAGAGATGAAGGAAGGACACAGATAAGACATCTGCAGATAATGTGAGACTTAGGGTAGTGCAGTACCAGAGTGGTTTGGTCTCGGTGCTGCCTACACTTCCATGAGAAGAAAAGGAAGGAAGCTGGCAAACATTTCCAGGGGAGTCAGGAGAATACGTGGCAAATGGAGCCAGCTCACACCGGGCCCCAGCAATGTACTGGCTTTGTGAGCCCTGCTTAGGATAAGAAAGGAATAGATTCTCTGTGCCAAAACCAAATGTCTCATGCTGAAAAGATGTACATGTCATCATTTAGGAGCAGTAATTGAAGTCATACAAACACATTTGAATAAGCAGGTCCAGAGGAATCTCTTTCATAGTAGGAAGCCTGTCAAAAGCACAAGCTTGCAAGCAGCAGGGCTACGGCGATTTGCGGGGTAAGCAATGTGACTTGACAGCACGGTCTCATTTCTGGGCACGGCTCATCTGAAGCCAGCACCATCACGCTGAAATAAACCACCTGGAGTCACTCCTCGCAATCGCATAGCCGTCACATAAAGAGCAGCCTGCTCCACGCATTTTACAGCCATTACACATATGTCCATGACATCCCATAGTTGAACAGACCCCACGAGCCTCAAGCAGGACGCTAAGAAAGCTCTTCCTCCAGGAAAGCTGCTTTCTATTGGTGCCCAAATTAAAAAAAGATAACAAGAAAAGGAACCATTTGAAACAAATGACCAGTCTAATACAGACACATAATCAGTTTAACCTCTCCCTACACTGCTCACATTTAGCTAGAGAGGATGATGACAGCACTTTGCAAAAGGTATGTCACTAAAAGCTGGGTTTCTCCTCCCAACCCAAGAAGTTTTCATTAATACAGGTCTCACACTAGCTCCAGTTAGAGGAATAATTATTATCTCGCTTAACATTTGGATAGGGCCCAGAAGAAGTGAGTACAGCATTATTCTTGTTAGCCACAGGAATTGACAGTTAACCACCCAGTGCAATGAATGACACCTAAAGCATTTCCATCCCCATGGGTCCAAAAGGCCCAGCAAACTGGGCAGTCTGGTTCTCCTTCCACCCTGAGACTGATGGCAGTATGCCCTGGGCGCTGGACAGTGGGTCTTTAATTGGAGAAAATAAATGCTCCAAATAAATATGTCAACTAAATAAATGACCCATCTTTGCAAACAAGTAACAATCCCAGAAACTGCCTGTGAAGCTGTGTGACCTAAGGACATTCCCCCTCCTTCTCTGTGCTTGTGATGCCCTCATTTCATGTTAGTGCTAGAGAGACTTCACCAAGTTTTTCAAGCACTTGAAGACCTACGGTCACGCTATAACCTGGGTGGGCTGTCGGCAGCACGGACCAAAGCATGAGCTGGAAGATGCAGGATTGGTGGCTCCAGGACAGCAGGGATACAGCCACTCAATGTGCTTGCCTTTAGCGACTGACTGTCCAATGGGTCCTGTCTAGTCTGGGTTACGCAGCGCTCCCAGCACAGGGAACCAGGTCCCCAGTTAGCTGTGGGAAGGCAAACACCCCTGCACTGTATCTTCCCAGCTCCAAGCTTGTCACCTGCAGTGGTCTCCCACTCCTCAGCCTGAGTGACCAGGCAGGAGTTTCTCCAGTATCTTCTCCAGGTTGTAGTGAACAAGGCACATCTGTGGCTCTCCTGGAGAGCAGAAGTGCCAGGGCCTGTAAGGAAGTATCTCCATTTATCAGGGCCACCATTCACTTAAGCAGCTCTTACGCTCAGTATGGTTTCTTCCTTTTTCAAGAGTCAACCTTGCATTACTGGGGGCAGCTTTGCTTGAGCAAAGAGCTCAGGATTTGGCCCTCCCTCAGGTAAGGGAGAAGAGAAATAATGGCACATTTCACTGCATTCAACATTTCATCATCCTTCCAGCTTCTGAATGAGGTCTCACTGTCTCCCCAAACACTGACTCACTCCTCGGGAAGGAAGCTGGCTCTCAAAACCACCCCATCAGCCAAATGCTGTGGCTTCAGGTATGACTGCACCTGGTAGAGAGAAACTGGAAAACTGCTGTGGGATTTTTCCAGCCTCCAATGCAGCTCTGGTAAAGTCTGTCCTACCAGGAGCAAAGACACGAGCACACAACCTCTGCCTGCTCCCAAAAAAGAGGTCTGCTTGGGACAGAAGAGCAAGTGACAGCAGGTAGCACACCCTCCTCTGCCAGCCAAGCAAGTCCAGGTCCTCCCTGGGCTGTGGTCAGCAGTGTCAGCTCTGCGCCATTTTCAGAGAGCTTCATCACCCCAGGCTCTGATTTCCATCCAGCCCTGCTCCTCCACTCTGCAGGGTAAATGGAGCCTGGAGATGAACAGGATGCAAATGGAAGGCGAGGTGACATGGCTGCATTTCTCCCGTTGAAGCCGGCTCTCTCCAAGGCGGCAAGAAGCGCACAGCTCGGCGGTGATAAACGGCCTTGCTTTAGTTATCACTTCCCTTAAGTTAAGGAGAGCAGCCTAGTGATGGATGGGCTGGAATTCGGTTATCAGGGAAGGCTGTCAGCCAGAGTTGCCTATCTCCACACACATTTAGCAGGGCGTCATTATGCGATGGCATGGAGTTAAAATATGACCAAGGGTATTGAAAGAAAAAGAACAGGATTAAAAAAAAAAAAGGCAAATTGAGCAACAATAAAAGAGCATGAGGCAAGAACGTTATCGTACTAGTGACACCTTTTATCTTGGTATGGTTAGCTAGAGCAGGGCACAAATTGGTCCTTCCTCCACTATTGTATCCTCTTGTACAAACAGAGGCAGATAAAATGTGTCACCAGTGCGATAGCGTATCAATTTAACCCTAATTATCTAGGGGGTCAAACTAAGAAATAGGGGTTTCTCATTTCAACAGGTTCTTCCATCTCTGCTCAGAGCCACCACATTAATATGGAAGGGGGAGGGGCAGCTGTAATTGATTTCCGTCACTCAGGTGGTCCTGGCATATAAAAAATTAATGCTTGATTCTCCCAACTAATCAGAGCTGGTTAACGTCCATCTGCTTCTGGGTTCAGGATGTCAGAAGACAAAGAAATTGGGCCACTTTCTACACACTGGGTGTATTGATATTGAGCCAGTTAAAAGAACAAGTCCCTCTATGGGAAAGATAAAGGGACATTAAATCTTGTTTTTTATAGACCTAGTCTCAGCCTTCCAAAAAATCCATGTCTGAAGACCTTGAGTTGTAAGAGATGCAGAACATTTTAATTGCATCCTGGCCAACCCCACTGCACCAGGCCGCAAAGGAGAGGGCAGGCAGGCTCCTGCCCTGGAAATCCTTTGCTGGAGGAGGGCTGGAAAGCTTGAAGCAAGCTGCTTGCACAACTGCAACAAGGTGATAGCCAAAGACAGGAGCTATTGAACCATCTCAGCCCTGCGCCCCAGTTCAAAGCAAGGCTGGTCAAGACATGGCTCTGGACCACACGGCGCAGAGCTGCTGCTCTGTTCTGACATAGAGTGGGATGTTTGCCAGGCCAAGAGGAAAGCTTGGGTGCCCTCTCCTAACAGAGACAGCTAGTGAGGGGATAACATCCTGTCTAAG